TACAATATTCTGTCTGTGTGTATGTCTGCAGGCCAGAAGAGGGCACCAGACCTCATTACAGATGGTTGTGAGCCACCATGTGGTTGCCGGGAATTGAACTCAGGACCTTTGGAAGAGCAGGCAATGCTCTTAACCACTGAGCCATCTCTCCAGCCCCCATTACAGCCTTTTTTTAAAAGAAAAATAAACATTAGTGTGGAAAGCGAATTACCCACAGGCCTGTAGTGATAAGAAAAAACTATTAATATTTAAGTTTATTTTCTTCATCTATGTTCTGCTGAGGCTGGGTTCATGGTTTCAGGCTCACCTCAGACGCCCTTTGTAGCTGAGGAGGCCTCGGATTTGTGGCCTTCCACTCCCATTGCCCGAATGCTGGGGTTGCAGGTCTGTGTTCCACCTCTGGTCTCATGTGCTGGGGACTGAACCCAGACCTTCGGGTGTGTTAAGTGAGCACTTACCAAGTGAGGTACACCACCAGCTCCTGCGCTCAGCTGTCTGTCAGGAAAACTGTCGAACACAAAGACAAGCCAACAGAAGATGATGATGGAATAGCACTGCCAATTTTCTGTTTGGGTTTTAAAATAAAATCACACCATGTGGCCCAGGTGGGTCTTGAACTCTGACCCCTTTCCGAGTGCTGGAAGCACGGGCCTCCCATCCAGCTTCCACTCTTGGTCTGCTTCCACTGCTTCGCGAGTCCCTCCTCTCACCCTAGAGGAGACGGAGTTGCCGCGTCCTCTCGCTAGTTCAGTGTGCCCACTAGGGATAAGCCCCGGATCCTTCACGTCTAAGAGAACCAACAATAACTGCGTGGTATCTGGGCCAGCTTTCACTGTTGTTCACGAGTATTTTATTTAGTTGTTTTTCACGGGTTATTTATTTATTTAATCTTTTGAGATAAGTCTTAAGTAGCCCAGGCCCTCCCAAACTTACTGAATTGCATAGCTGGGATGACTGGTGCATGCCACCACACCTTGCTGCTTGGTTTTAGTCTTGATACAGGATCTTTTGTGTACCCGACTGTTGGATGCTGCGGTCTCTCTGAGCAGCTCCCAGTTCCTTCCAGCCTTTTGTCTTTGGAGCATCCTTGCTGGTTGTCTCAGAGCGCCTGCTGCCTTCTGGATTGGCTCCCTAGTTTTTCATGGGTGTTTTAAGTTGTGTCTTCATCCCTGCATTTCTGCCCACAGAAAGGTCTGAGGCCATGAATGGTTCACGGTTCTGAGAGTGTGGTCCCTAGGCAGCGGTAGCAGAGGCTGGCGAGGTGAACTCTTGGGCCTGTTCCTGATTTACTGAGTTGAATTTAATCATCCATGACAGGAATTCTGAGTGGGACCCACAAGCCTGTGACTAGCAAGACCTCCAAGTAGCTGCTTCTAAGTCCGTGAACAACAGTTCAATACAGTTACTTAGGTGCCAATAAAAACTTGTGCAGGCATAAGTCACGGTCAGTGGTGTGAACTCCAGACTGAGCTCTGCATGGAGGCTCTTAACGGCAGGGTACTTCAGGGCTGCTGATGCTAAGTTGGGTACTTGTTTTCTTCCACCGTGAAAGTATACTTTTCTCAGGACTAGGATATGCTCAATGAGTAAGATTTTTCATTGAGATACATTTTAAGGAAGCGCATGGAATAATAGGCTTTGGAGAAAGCCCATGCCAGCAAAGAACTGTGATTCCTAGCGCTGACTTCCTCATCTTCGTGGGGTTTTTCAGCGCTCAGGACTGCCGTGATCTTTAGAGCCACACGGACCCGTCCTTCTCCATCCTGCAGTGTGCGTCACAGTCCAGCCCCGTGCCTGTGTGGGAGAGTGATATCTGCGTACCCTTTTAATGTTATATGTCACGAGTACTGTTCTGTGTTTGTTTGTTTTAATATTTATTTATTTGTTATGTATACAATGTTCTGTCTGTATGTATGCCGGCAGGCCAGAAGAGGGCACCAGACCTCTTTACAGATGGTTGTGAGCCACCATGTGGTTGCTGGGAATTGAACTCAGGACCTTTGGAAGAGCAGGCAGTGCTCTTAACCTCTGAGCCATCTCTCCAGCCCTGTTCTGTGTTTTTATCTGCATGATATTCGCCTATTAAACAACGTAATTTACTTAACCACTTATTATTAGAGTTTTCTCCTACTCATAGGAGTAATGTTAATGTAAACATTTATATATGTCATTTTTGGCTACTTCTCAGACTTTAAAGTGTTTTTACATATAATTTAGTGTGTGTGTGTGTGTGTGGTGGAGGTCAGAGGACAACTCGTGGGAGCTTATTCTCTGCTCCGTGTGAGTCCCAGGGATCGAATTTCGGTTCAGTCTTGGTGGCAATGTCTTTACCTCTGACTCATCTTGCTGGCCCACCCTCAGCCTTGGGTTTAGTGTTAGGGTGTGTTAATGTTCGGGATGAATGCTGGCAGCTTACCTCAGAGGAAGGGCGTGCCAATTTACACCCCTCCAGTATCTGGGGTTCCGTCTCAGATTTTTGCCATCATTTAATATTTTATTTTTTTTCAAGTTTACATTATATGGACATTTTACTGTAAGTTTTATTTCCTTGTTCATAGTGAAGCTGATATCTCTTTCTCTCGCTGGGGAAGCTGAATTAACACACATCCTCACTCTGTCTCTTCCTCTTTCAGACAATATCTCACTGTGTAACCCTGGCTGGCCTAGGACTTGCTATATAGACCAGGATGGCCTGGAACTCAGAGAGACCCCTGCCTCTGCCTCCAGCATGCTGGGATAACAGGTGCACCATGATGCCCACTGAGGCAGAACATTTTTCTGATCTACTTGCCTCTTGCATTCTGGGAAAAGAATATTTGAAAACTCTTCAAGTCATGATGTATTAATCAGTCTATACCCCCAAAGGACTGGGCCAGATGAAAGCTAGATCCTTGCCCCCCACCCTCAGGTTAGTGTGGGGAGGATGGCAGGTTGGCGAGAAGGCTTAGTCCTCTTTCTAAGTGCTAAGGACAGGACGTGAGCCCAGCAGCGTAAGTCAGGTGCCTGAGCCAACGCTGTCACTTTTACACCTGGCTTCTTGGTGTGGACGTCTCTGTAGCAGAAGGGGAGGAGAGGGCATCCTGGGAAATAGGGAGAGTAAGCAGTTCCCAGAAAAACAGCGGAACCCAAGAGACACAGCCGCTCACCCACCTCTCCGGGAACCGGCACAGCCCCACTGAGAAAGTCCGCGTGCATCACCAACAAGACATGGCTCACCCGCGAGCCCTTGTGGCTGGCCTCTTCCAAACACTAGCTTTTTCTCTGTTTGGGGCCCTGTGAGATCAGTGAGCTTGGTCTAGCCTATGAGTTAGGGCCCTACAGGAAATGGTACAAGGCACCAGATAGGTCTTTGACTAAATGATGGTGGTCACTTGTCCTCGTAGCCTGCCCTGACTGCCCTGGGAAACACGTTCATCGCGGTTTTTAGTTGTTCCTGATAGCTATGGCTCTTACATTTTAGGGCCTATCAGAATCCCTGCCTACATTTGCTGATGTTGTATATTTTTGTGAACTCATGGTCTATTAAGCGCTTAGGGCTTAGGATGAGAAAAAGGGACAACAGTGACCTTATAAGAAATATGTGCAGGAATTCTGAGAAGCTAGGGTTTCATACTGTGAACCAAGGATGGAAGGAGGAGCTGAAGCTGGTTCCCTCTTCCGTGGACTCTCCTGAGTGGGAGCTGGAGTCCATTTTTAGTCATTTCAGTGTGCTCTGTCTCCTTGAATCCTAGATGTGTGTTTTGGACAAACTGATGGTGGAGCGGCTGTCGGCAGAGAGAACAGAATGCCTGAATCGCCTGCAGCAGCACACAGCTGCTGAGAAGCAGGAGGGGGAGAAGCGGCAGGTAAGAATCAGCCAGCCCTTCGCCCCTGAGTCATTGCCTGTCTGCCCAGCTGGTCCAAGTCCAGCAGTGCAAACCCAGAGGCTGAGAGTGCATTCCATAGCCTGTTGTTTGGTAGCCCCAGTAAAGTCAGTAGCAAAGGGCACGCAGTCCTGTTTGAGCCTGTTGCTGAGTCTGCTGGCAGGACGTGGAGACAGTATGCTGGAGAAGAGGCTGTTCTGTGATTGGGCCATTCATCAGCTTCCTCTTCGGGGAGTCTACTGCCTTTCCGGGTCAGCAGCAGGGCTGAGTACCTGGGAGTTTCTGAAAGCAACCAAAAACACCTGGCTTGGAAGATTTGCAGGGCATTTAGGCATCTGAGTTCTAGTAACTCACGACCTTGGTTTGGTGGTAGGCATGGCCGTGGGAGGATGAACAATCCGTAACCTTTCAATGTGTGTAATCTCACGTGTTGTAATGTGAAAGTTCCTTCTTGGGGACCAGAGAGCTGGCTTAGCAAGTGTGTTCTGCTCTCCAGAGGCCCTGTGTGATTCTAGCTGTAGATCTCCTCATGCCCTTCTTCCCTCCCCTACATGCACACGTGGGGTGAACATTCACACAAACACACACACACTTTTTTTTTTTTTTTTGGTTTTTCGAGACAGGGTTTCTCTGTGGCTTTGGAGCCTGTCCTGGAACTAGCTCTGTAGACCAGGCTGGTCTCAAACTCACAGAGATCCGCCTGCCTCTGCCTCCCGAGTGCTGGGATTAAAGGCGTGCGCCACCATCGCCCGGCTCACACACAATTTTTTAATCAAGGAGTGGGGGCAGAGAAGAGAGAAGGTGTGCACCCCAAGGCACATGTGTGGTGCTCAGGACAACTTGAGGAAGCCAGTTCTTTCCTACTGTCTCGTGGGTTCTGGGGATTGAACTGAGGTCTTCAGACTTGGCCGCCAGCGTTTTCAACACTAAGCCATCTTACCAGCTCTTGAAATACACCTTTTAAAATAATTTTTTAAAGATTATTTTATTTATTTGTGTGGGTGTTTCGTCTACATGTGTGTCTATGCACCTTGTGGGTGCCTGGTGCCCTTGGGTCTCCAGGACTGGAGTTAGACTGTAAAGTGGCTGTGAACTGGCGTGTGGGTGCTGGGAATAAAACTTGGGTCCTCTAGGAGAGCAGTCTGCCCTTAGCCGCCGAGCCATCTCTTCAGCCCCCCAAAAGTTCATTCTTGATGATTTAATTCATAAGCCATATCAAATTCAATCTTGTACGTATTATTTGTGATTTCAGATGTCCTTGGTGGACGAATTAAAAGCCTGGTGCACGTTGAAGATCCAGAATCTGGAGCTGAGGCTGTCTGGAGAGTCTCGAACCTATAGAGCTAAATCCACACCATCTCCTTGTGACTCCTCTGCAGGTAACCCGCTCACCACACTCCCTGTCCTCCCTGATCTAAACATTGTCCACAGAGCAGATCTGCAGCAAGCACAGTGAGGTCGGGTGTTAGGAAGCATGGCGTATCCAGACCCGTGAGAGCGAGGAATAAAACGAGGGATACTGACAGGTGGCCTGGTGTGTCTAAAGACCATGACCAAAAGCAGCCTGCTGAAGAAAGTGTTTATTTGGCTTAAACATCCCAGGTCACACTCCAGGGTAGGAACTCGAGGCAGGAACCTGGAGACAGGCACTGAGACAGTGTGTGAAGACTGCTCACAGACTCGCTCTTCATAGCTTACTTGGCTTGCTTTCTCCTGTACCCCAGGACCACTCACCCAGGTTAACAGCTCCCACAGTAGGCTGGGCTCACACATCAACCATTAGTGAAGAAACTATGCCCACAGCCTTGCCTGTAGGCAATCTGATGGAGGTGGTTTCTCAGTTGAAGTCCCTCTTCCCACATGACCCTAGCTTATGTAAAACTGACAAAACCAACCAGCACAATGGGGACCAGTAAATCCTGAAGATGAGAGGAGATGAAGGACCAGCTTCCTTTTGGGTGGGGCTTCCCCCTCCTTGTTCCTACTCAAGTAGCCTTTTGCCTTTACCTAAACCTGCAAAGCTGTTTCAAGCAGTAGCGATGTCCCAAGCTTGCCCTAGGTGATAAGACACGCTCTCAATGAACTCTTACCCTGCAGTGAGCACATGTGATCGTTTTTACAACTAGCACATGTTCGTTGTACAAAATGATGGCTCCATATTTCCACACACTTGCATCATCCCAAGTGCTCCCTGGTTCCTCCACATCTGGTAATTCATGTCCTCTTCCCAAACAGCCCCTCTTCTATGTTATTGCTTTTTAAAAAATCTAGATTCTAGTTGGAAATGGTGGTGCACGCCTTTAATCCCAGCACTCAGGAGGCATAGGCAAGTGGATCTCTGTGAGTTCAAGAGATCCACATTTTAAGTTCTAAGACAGTCAGAACTACACACACACACTTTGTTTCAAAAAAATAAAAAAATTTAGATTCTGAATATGTAGGAAAAATATGTACCATCCTTTTTCATCTGAGTTATTTCACTTATATTAATCTCAGGCTGTATCCATTTTCCTAGATGATATCATTTTTCCTTTATGGCTGAATCAAACTTCATTGTGTGTGTAAGCCATATTTTACTTATTTATACGGTAATTCTAAAGACATTAAAGCTGAGTAATTAGGTCCTACTGGGGAGCTTTGATAGGTCAAGTGCTTACTATAGCCCCATCTGTCTACATGGCTTTATCCTCGTACCAACATGTCGAGACAGCTGTGAGCCAACTCTTCATGCTGGGACTAGCTATGGAACTGCTGTAGTGAACGGAACATAGGTCAAGTGGAGCGGGAGTGCTGCATACCTTCCTCTCGACTCTGCTGTACCCCCAAAATCATCCCCCTCAAAAAGAGTTGCTGGTGGGGTGTGGGCTAGCACACGCCTTTAACTTCAGCATTTAGGAAGCAGTGGCATATGGATCTCTATGAGTTCAGGACGATATAGTGAGACCTAGTCTCAAACAAGCAAAGAAAAAGTCCAAAAAACAAATTGGTATATAGTTTTATGTCCCAGAAATGAAGACCATGGGCATATTCCCCCTCGTAGATCAGCACTCTTTCTGTGTGGAGACACTGTAAATTCTGTCATTTTTAGGCATTAGAAACAAGACCCAGAGCTTTCTAGGGCAGACAAAACAGGATAAAGGCAAGGCCAGAAATCTACCCTATATGCTCTTCCTGCAGCTAACACAGAATCCAAGAGCCCCGATGAACTAAGATGAGAATCCTGGAGAAAAAGTGGGAGGGAAGGGGGGGGGAGGAAAAAGATGAAAGAAGCTCAGAGAAGGGGTAGGAGGTGCCTAGAAAGGCTGAGGCTCTGAGCACCCCAGGACTCTCAAGTGAGTGAGACCCCAGATCTGTGGCTAAATAAGGATATGCTCTGACACTTGTTTCTCCTTTGTAGATCAACCAGTGGTAGCTGCAGGGCCATTGGCAGCTTCCAACAGCTCCTCGCAGGTTGTGAGGCCCAAGGAGAAGGCACACGGTGCCACTGCTGCCCAGAGACAGCAGCAGGAACTGCTTCCCTCTGACAGCACAGGCTCCCGGTTGAGGAAGGTCAAGGCCCCGGCAGCCCCCTGCCCCTTGAATGGGGCTCCCAAGTGTGATCAGCAGACTGGGTCCTGTGTCAACAGAGGCACTCAAACCAAGAAGTCTGGCAGAAGTGGGCAGACCAAACATCGAGGCCAGCAGCCCACGGCCAGCAGCCCCTGTGGGCAGCAGTCCTCAGCAGCGGGCGGTGATGTCCGAGATGCCTCGCAAGCCCTGGAGCTGACCCAGTACTTTTTTGAGGCCGTTTCTACCCAGATGGAAAAATGGTATGAACGGAAAATCGAAGAAGCACGAAACCAAGCCAGTCAGAAAGCCCAACAAGACGAGGCCACCCTGAAGGAGCACATCAGAAGCCTGGAAGAGGAGCTTGCCAAGCTCCGGACAAAGGTGCAGAAGTAAAACCCAGACCCTGAGGGGAAGCAACAGGACTTCTGGCTTGGTAACAGGGAAGTAACTGTGTCCTGGGAGCGAGGGATTGTGAACAAGGTGGAATTGCCCCTTGGAGTCACCAATCTGCTGTGGACACGTGCTTCTGTGCTCTCAAGTTACACCCAAGCCTGGGAAGCTTGAGGAGTTGCAGGTCTCACTCCTAATTCTAAACCTTAGGCCAGGTTTATAAAAGCAAACCGCCCCAAGAAGAGAAGGTGTGTGCCTAAGTCTGTGATTCAGTGACATGAAATGCGTTAGGAGCAGAGATTACTCTCTGGGAAATCTCCAAGTAGTCATTGGTATCCACGTCAACACACCTGCTGTGCCTAGCCGGTCCAGCAGAGCCGGGACTCAGATGCAGGAAGCTGCTTTCTCCCCTGTAACTCTCAAAATGCTCATCTCTTAACTGGGTAAAAATCTTCCAGATTTTGAGGGGAAATACATTTTAATGATCTCAGTGTCCAGTATGTCTTAAAATAATTTTAAAGGACGTGTAAGTAAGGAGTAATTGCTGACTGAAAATGTTTGTCAGATGAGAAAAGCTTAAACCATTGGTCAGATACTGTGTTTTTAGTCAAAATAATTGAGACTGTTAGGAAAACATTCATGAAACAACTCCAGCCAGTTACTTAGACTACCTTTCTGAATACAAGACTTTTGTTCTGTATTTTGTAAACAAAGCAATTCCACAGAAGGTTAATTTCTAATTGACTTCTCTCACTGAAGATCAAGGTAAAAAATTGACTAACTCGACTTCTGAAGGCTTTTCCTGTTTACTGAATGAAATGTACCAGAGACTGAGGAGGTGAAGATTTTTCAGTCGAGACCTTGGATTTCTCTTGTAATCTTTTGGATCATGGATTATATCCGTCTCCACGTGCTCTACATATGCACAGAAAATTCAGTTGTTTCTCTAAGCCTAAAACCTAAATACTGACCATGAATCGTGACTAAAATGCTGTTCATTGAGCCAAAGAGAAGTGATGATATTTCAGGAATTGTGTAGTTAGCCCTTTGTCAAGCCAAGTTTTTGTTTTTCCTTCTAGTGACAATCCATGAATACAGACATTCCTGTAAACGTGACAGGTATTTTGAGTACAGAGTCCAGTGAGTCCTAGTTCATGTGACGGACCTGTCTCTATCCTCTGTGTCTTGGGAGGTGCAACCCTTTCCCAACAAGATGTTGCTCGCTCCTGAAGGGTCATTCCTTATTATACACCAAACTATTAGGAACTGCCTAACACTAAAGAGATGAAACCCTGAGCTCAGAGAGTTATGCTCCAAGCAGGAGTTATTTTCACTATTAGAATACTTCTTACCTCAAGACATCCCTGTTGAGAACTGCAGACAACTGTAATTGGACACCAGGTCTCTAGCAGAGTATCTTGGTGGCTGTACTTTGATGATATACCTCCTACCCGTCAGAAGCAGGCAGCTTATCACTGTGAACTGGATATTTTGTCAAGTCATTAAGCATAGAGACCAGGCTACTGAATAAGGGCAGTCAGCCCCTTACCCACAGGGCTGACTTCCTAAGTGGTGGGTGTTTGTTATTGGTTGACTGTGTACCCCTAGACTGGCTTTGAACTCATGATCTTCCTGTGGCGGCCTCCTGAAGTCTGGGGTTAAAGGAGTGAGCCCCATAGCCAATCACGTTTTGTCTGTAGCACCAGGGTTAGGTTTGTCGCCGTTGTTCCTTAGCGTTGTGCAGCACTGCAGATCTGGTGTGCATTGCCCCGTGCCATGTGCTACAAGAAGCAAGTACCCCCGCCGTACCTTGACAAATCACTGTTTATACCATGTATTCTCATGTAGCTCATGCTTCAAACAGAGGCCTAAAGTGTTTTTTCAACAGCTGTGGAAAAAGTCATAAACAGTAAAGTTGTACATTATTCATGTCCTTTTTAAAAAACGAGTTAGCACATCCAGTATACTGTACACTAAATATCTGTGATAGAGCTGGGGTTAGCCCTCGCATTGTGTTTGACTTGGGGAGTCCAAAACAGGCTTTTCACATGTCTTTTTTAAAATTTATTTTTGGTGAAAGGCATGTTGTCTAATGTTTTTCCCACCTTGAACTTGTGTTTCCTGCAAGCATTAAACCTTGTTTTCAGTTCTGTTGGTTCTCCACTCCTTATTTATAGCCATTTGTTCTGCTGGCGGCACTCAAGAGTTCCTGAAGGAGAGCCTGCACCCAGTATTTTACTTACTTAGAGCAAATGCATCTAACGTCAACTTCAGGTGTCTTGCATCCTTTTAATGTTGTTAATGCAAGCATATTAACACCACAAGGTACAAGACAGGTTAGCACTTTTAAAAAATACAAGAACAAATTGATTTTCAGTAAATGCAAAAGGTAATCAAAAAGGCTTATTAATCTTGTATGTTGGGAGTGGGCACGTGAACGTGAGTGCAGGTACTTGCTTGGCTCTGGGTCCCCTGGAGCTGGAGTAACAGGCAGTCAAAGCCACCCCCTGTGGGTATTGGGACCTGAACTCGGGTCCTCTTCAAGGTTAGTATGCTCTTAACTGTTGAGCCACCTCTCCAACTCCCTAAAAAATCTAATGCAAATATAATTTCTCAAAATCCTAAATCCTGTGATCTCTGATTTATTAGAGTGACTTTTGTTTTTTAAATCTGGGCCTGATTCTATATAATCCTTTTCCAAGGCAGATATAGGCTGCTTCCATTCAGAATGGCCTTTTCCTTAGTTCTGCTGGCCCGGGTCTCCCAAGAGCACTGCTGGTGTAACTGATGTTCACGTCCACTTTCCTCGGTTTCCATCGACCGATGTTCGGGCACATCCATGGCAGTGCTTGCTGTGCTGAGTTTGAAAGGTGCAACCCGACGGCCCCTTTTAGAGAGACAGGTGATGCAGGGCAAACTGTGCAGCTTCAGCCCCTTACGTGTTACACAAAGCTTCTGTGTGTGAAATCTTTCTCCCGTTTGTTAATCTCTCTTTTGAGACAGGGTTTCAACTATGCAGATCTGGCTGGCCTAGAACTCAGGGTACTGGATTAGAGCTGTGCCTTTACAACAGGATTGATGTTGGTTCACGTGCATAAAGTCAATTGTTAAAACACCTTAAGTTCTAGGAACAAGTATGAGTCTGACATTCAAACAGATAACCTTACAGGAGACGCTCAGAAAGGTTGATAGGCTGTACAATCCTGAGTCCAGATAAACTGGATTCAGGATAAGTAAAACGTCACCAGCAGCTCCATCTGGCCAACATCTCAAGGAAATGTGGCCCTGTGCCCCAGGAAAACACTGCTGAAAGACCCTCCTCGTGACCCAGGTTCAATTCCTAGCACCCACATGGCAGCTCACAACTCTCTGTAACTATAGCTCTAAGGGATCCACACGCTCACACAGACATGCAGGCAAAACATCAATGTACATAAAATAAATAATCACACACACAAGAAAAAGCCAAACAAGCCTTGGCCTATTCGCCAGAGGGGCTAATCAAAGGACCCGAGTGAGCAAAGTAGACCTGTCCCTTGGAGATGAAGGGAAAGCCGGGTACTGCACTAACCTTTCCCTCTGGAAACAATTCCATGCAAAGTGTTTAATCTGCTCTAAAATTAATTAGGCAGTGTGGTAGCACATACTCGGCAGAGGCAGGTGGATCTCTGACTCTATGGCAGCCAGAGCTACATAGTAAGTTCAGAGAAACAAAATCGAACCCCAGCTTGCCTTAGGATGATTGGCAGCTGAATACGCTTTTAAAAAGTTCCCTGTACGCCACTTTGGACCATCATCAGCATCCACATCTCATGACTGCTGTTTAGTTCCAAGATACTAGACCTCCTCAGAGTCTGTATTTGAATTTGAATGTCAACCAGACCACACAAGGTCTTCAAGACTGTTCACAGAGAGCAATGTGGCTCACATCTGCAATCCTGGCAGATGGTAGGTGGAGGATGGAGATTAAAACAGAAGACCTGGTTTCAAAAACAAAAACCTAAATTGCTCACAAATGGTTGCTAGCTATGTCTGCACAGGCTGTATATTGGCTTAAAAAAAGCATGGGGTTAGCTCACTGGCAAGCAGAACTGTGCATGGGACCCCAGGGCTCCAGGAGGTGGCGCTGTGCTCAGGTCACATAGGTTAAGCACATTTTGCACCATCTTTCCAGGCACCCAGCACAAGAAAATAGTCAGGTTCCCAGTCTGGAACCCCTGTTGTTGACAGGACACAGACTTCTGCTTACAGGACAGCGTCAGAGTTCTCAACACGCTTCCACTTCCACATAGTTCACTCAATGTGTATGAATTTTATCTCAAGGGCCCCATGACAACTTTGTGATGTATTTCTTTCTCCCATTTTTGAAGTGCAGTATACCAAGAATCTGTCTTGATGGCTCAGTGTCCACGAGGATGTTAGGCGCAGGAGCTGAAGAACTGCCCAGTCTTCCCTCCTCTTTCTGCTGTTTCAGTGTTCTCAGCTCTTTCATTTCCAACCAAGCTCCAGGTGTTCTGAGGTCTTAGTGCTCTGGTCATGAAACCGTAGCACACCTGAACAAAGTAATTTCACAACCCTGAAGGGCAAAGCAGGTTTTTCAAGTTCTAGAGCAGTGGTTCTCAACCTTCCTAATGCTACCACCCTTGATACAGTTCCACATGTTGTGGGGACCCCAACCATAAAATTGTTTAATTGCTACTTCATGACTATAATTTTGCTAATGGAAGCTTCTGATATGTGGCCCCTGTGCAAGAGTCATTCAGGTTGAGACGCTGTGGTGGAGCATCTCCTAGAGTCAGTACAGTACCCTGACAGTCCAATTTCTGTTTTGGTTTTGTTTTTGCAGCTGAGGTAGGGAGGTCACACCATACCCTTAGTCTAAAGATGATACAGCAAAACCCTCCCATGCTGCACAGAGCATTAAACTGTTCACACAAAGCTCTCCTGTTTCTAACAAAAACATGGATCTTCCCTGAACTGTAACGCTTACCTTCAAGCATGAGACCTGGCAGATCTGGTTCTAACTGACGTAACATTTGGACACACTGCCACGACGCCTTTACTCCCAGCACTTAGGAGGCAGAGGCAGATGGATCTCTGTGAGTTCGAGGCCAGCCTGGTCTACAGAGCGAGTTCCACGACAGCCAAAGCTACACAGAAAAACCCCGACATTTGGGTTTATTTATCGTAAACATATCCATTAGAACGTTTCCTTCAGCAAATGGAGAAATCGACTCTTGAGAATTACACCGCATACCCGTTTTATTATACCAAGGGTGTCTGTGGACCTAACCACATTCTCACTCAAAGTTAGTAGTCTTAGAATATTCAGAGTTGTAAAGCCATCCACGTGCCTCCAAGCAGCCCTACCCATCCACTGGGAACGCTCTGTCTTAGTCTAAGGCAGCATGGAAGCAGAGGCTCTGTTACAGCTGGCTCCACTAACTTAACAATGTTACCAAGGTCATTCACGGGGAGCATGGAGCAGTTCTTCACTCCTTTAACTGCAAAATAACATTTTACCGTACACCGCACTACATTTTAAATATCCAAGCATCTGTTCACTGATATTCTGAGTCCAGTATCTGGTTAGCACACCTTTAATCTGAGCACTCAAGAGGCAGAGGCAGGAGGATCTCTGGGTTTGAGGCCAGCCTGGTCTACAAAGAGAAAACCTGCGTCAAAAACCAAAAAAAAAAAAAAAAAATGTTGAATTCTGTATACACTTTTTATAGGCGTGGTTTCGGTTCTCTTGATTCAAGCCTAGACTTGCTAATGTACGAGGTAACTGTGTCGCCTTTTATTTATTTTTAATCACATTTTTTTTCTCTCTCTCTCTGTTTTGTTTCTGTGCTGCAAAGACCATGTGATAGACAACTTTCTGAAGTGGTTCTCTCCTTCCACCATGTAGGTCCAGGGGTCAAACTCAAGTTCCTGGCAGCAAGAGCCTTATCAGTGGCGCCATCTCACCAAGCCCTCTAGCTACCTGGCTACCTTTTCAAGAACTAACAGTCTGTTTCCCAGAGTGGCTGCTGCTGTTTTGCCTTCACCCGAGTGTACAGTTCCAAGTGCCCATCTTCACGCTAGTTCACTTTTGAATTGCAGCCACTGCAGTGGAAATGTCAGTGCCTTGACTTGCATGCTTGATTGACATAATCATCTTGTCCTGTGCTACCGTAGGTCCTTTGTGACAGTGGCTTTGAGCCCGTGCAAAATGATGGGGATCTGAAAACCTTCCGGTTAAGACTTTGCTAAAGCGAGTGTCCTTTCTAATTCCTTTAGTTGCATATTGCCTTGAGTAATCATCATTCGGATGGTATCCTGGAGAAGAAAGGGAAACCTGGTCATGGTTTTTACCAGGTTAACCATGGCACAGTTCTATTCTCCTATCTGCTACCTTCAAGCAGCAACAGTGGCTGGTTACAGGTTGTAGCTGAGGGCTTACCATGCCCAAGGCTCTACATTCAATCTCAACACAAAAGAACCCCCAGCAAGAAACCAATAGTGGGAAGCGCAAGCCAGTTGCTGCTGCTGTACAACAATCGGCGGTGAGCAAAACGGACCACCTTACTGACGTATCCCAAGATGTCCGCTAACCTTGACAAGTTCAACAACGCAACAGGACAAAGGAGCCGCGGCCTCGGTATGGCCTTGCTCTCACCTCTTCTGTGGCGCTTTTGTTCCTTTTGAATTCTTCCCTGGCCCAGTCCTGAAGGTACTTTCGGTCAGCCTCGCTGGGAACTTGCCTAATCGCTCGGAAGATCTTTCTGTAGAGGAGGAGGACTTGCTGCCTTCTCATGAACTGCCCGGGGAAGGAGAAAAGCAAATTACAACTAAATACCCGCCCGCTCCATCTCCGCAAACAACTTGGGACCAGAAAAGTCCCTTTAAACGGAACAAGACAAAAACCAAAGCTCGTCCCGGCGGTTTGCTTGGGCAATGCACACCAATCCGCCCTCGGGAAGCTGCACGCCGAGGTGGCGGTGGCTGTGGGAGCCAGGTCTCAGGGACAGTGCCTCAAAAGACCACAGGCGACACCGCTCCAGGCAGGCGCCGGGAACCTGGAGCCTGGGAGCTGGGAGAACCCGGGTTTACCTGCTTCAGAGTCAGCGCCCCGCGAGGCAAGCGGGAGGACGCCATGGCAGCCGCCTGGTGCGCAAGATCGGAAGTGGAGCCTGGGGCTGACGGGAACACGGAAGCGGAAGTAGGAAGCGGGTGAGCCCGGTTTCTAGGAGACGGACGCTTGAGGCTTGTGTTTCTGCTGGAGTCAATGCCTCAAGGAACTTGTCACCCAGGAGCTTAAGCGTTTTACCGGAGGGGAGAAATTGTGAGCTCTTTGAGCACCCTTGATGTGTATAACGGAAAAGACCGGCATTTAAACTAGCAGTTTCTACTTGGCATCCTGAAAGCTTTTCTTTTTCTCTGAGCTTTATCCTCAGCCGGTAGCCACGGCGATCGTTGCGGCTCCATGCACTTTTCCTACTCATGGAGCCTCTGGCTTTTTGTTTTGTCCCCCACACCACACACCTCGCAGTGTCCCGTATGTAACTGCGCAGAATAGCTCCAGATGCAGGACTTTAATTCTCAGTGTTGACTTCACAGGCATCATGAGTGATGCTCAACCCCATGTGCTTTGTCAGATTTTCTCTGTTGTGGGAGCTTGAGGCTCACACTTGAGGCATCAGCGTTGGTGGCAAGCACCTTTACTGTCCGAGCCGTTTCGGCGGCCCTTGGAAATTTTCTTTATACAATTATAACCGCTTTAACTCTACATTAGCATGCTTGTTTCTTTGAGACTTTCCAGTTTCATCTTCTCCCAGCTGTTGTAAAACTGTATCACACTGACCAGCTTTCTCTTTAAATATATTTACTTCGTCTACAAGTTACTTTTATTAATGGCATGATATGGATCTAAGTTTTTCCCGCCCCTAGACTAAAAATTCAAGGTCATTTATTAAATAATTCATAACATACCAGGCGGTGGTGGCCCACACCCTTAATCCCGGCACTCAGGAGGCAGAGACAGGTGGATCTCTGTGAGTTCGAGGCCAGCCTCGTCTACAGAGTGAGGTCCAGGACAGGCTCCAAAGCTACGGAGAAACCCTGTCTCGAAAAACCAAAATAATAATAACAATAATAATTCATAGCTTTCCTTGGCCATGGTGGTAATCTTTTTGACCACAGAGTCTTTTAGGGTCTGAATCTGTTCAGGCTTTTTTTAATTATTGATTTTTATTGAGCTCTACATTTTTCTCTTCTCCCCTCCCAGCCTCTATCAGGCTTAATCTTGGACTGGTAGTAGAGTAAATTTCATTTCGCTTTGAGGGGGAGCGGTAGGGGGGCTGTGAGTTTTGGAGCTCGAATGGAAAAGTATCCTGGCAGCCGGGGGGCCAAGGATTCGACAAAGTCACTGTAAGCTTTGCAGCTCTGCTGGGGGTGGGGAAGGTTTCCAGAGGGCAAGAGTAATGACTCTGCTCTGGCCAGCAGAGTTCCACAGCTCTGCTCTGCTCGGGGGGAAAAGTTTCCCCATTAAAGTGCCGCAGCTCCACCCTGGCTCCCTCGAACGTTGTTCCAGACGGTCTCTGCTCGGGTGCAAGGGTCACACTGCGCAAGGGTCACACTGCGCAAGCCTCACTTAAGAGATTTACGGGGAGGGAAATAACCAGAATGGCGGCTGTCTCTATGATGAGAAACAACAAACTAAACAGAACAGAGGTTATATAGGACTTCTTGGAGGGGAGGCACTCAGGGATGTTTACAGTTGATGGGGTTTTGTGACCTGATTCTGGGGCAAGCTCAGGGAATTCCGGGACTGTTATACAGAGAAACCCTGTCTTGGAAATAAAACAACATAAAAAGAACAATATGTATGAATATACCATTTGAATACAGTGTATTTGACTATAGTACAGTATATTGACTATGGCATATTTCAAATACACTAGATTTGAATATAGTAGTATATTTAAAGCCTGTTACCCAAGCGTAGCTCCAGCAGATATCTGAATAGAGTCAGACCTGTCAGCAAGGGATGATAACACTTGGTGGTCTCTTCAATTAAACTGATTAACCTCATACACGTACATATCAGATTGAAATTACACAATGACGTCTTGCCACTGTGATCCATGACTAATTACTCAAGAACACCAACGATCAGCCTGCTGTACTTTAATAGTTTTACTGGCTTTTGATACTAAGTAATCCTGGAACTTAGACCTACCGCCTCTGCCTTTCAAGGGCCAAGATTCAAGGTGCCGTGGTACATCACCCCCCTTCCAGGCTGTGGGGACGGGAAAGTTACCCGGATTAGATGATGACAAGGTGCAGATTGTGCCACTTGACCCCTGAAATATCAGAACTTCCCTTCCCGGCCAGACCAGGTAGCTGGGGATAGGAGGGAGACTAAAAGCTCATCATTCCCTTTGCCATGCCAACCCAAGTGGAAATGGCACCTGTTCACCAGGATTCTGTCCCAAACCCAGGGAGCCACCCTATGGGCAAAGAAACCATTCCACGCAGGCATGATTTGCGAGGCCCCTCCTTAGCTACACATGTTGATCAGAACTGTGGTCAATGCAATCAGTGAAGTTACGTCATAAAGCTGAATCTTTATGCCACATGTGGTTCCGCCAACTTACCTTTTCCCTCTGCTGCAAAGCCTGCATGCAGCAGCTTATGGACCACGGAACAGCGAAGCCTAACCACTACCGTATGACTAGAAGTCTGTGGACTAGCATGGTGTGACTGGCAGAGAGGATCAATTCTTTAAACTGCCGTCCTATTTCTCATACTCCGTTAAGAATGATCAGAGTATCCGGCCCTGCCCCTTGCCGGATACTGTAGCAGGAAATCTCCCCTTACCCTTCACCATGGACATGCACCTTCCCTGGGCAGCAGCACACTAGAGCTGACCCTGTCAGGAGAGCCGATACCCCACCCCCCATCTGCCATGTGTTAGCATGGGTGAGGGAAATTTCAATACATTGCTACCTATCGGAGGCAAAAGAACTGGCCCCGTGACGACGAGAGTTGGATAACTAGCCCTTTCCCTCACTGGCTGCAGCACATGGGAAACTGGGCAGTACACCAGAGGGGATCCTGTTGGCAATGGGGCAGGTGACCCCACCCACCTCCTATGCCTCTTACAGCAGTTGAAGAGAGGACACTGCACCGTGCCTGGTTGGTGTGAGTGTGGGCGAGCCAGACCTGACCCACTTCGCACTGCAGGCTGCACTGGGTGGGCTGGCTAAGGCAGCGCTGGAGTTCGCTCTGATGCTGATAATGGAGGAGAGCTGACAGGCTAACCAGTGACACCCAGGGCAAGAACCAGAGCTGTCAGTCGGGTGACATCCACCTCATCTATAAACATATGAAGGGGATGAACCTACAGATCCAAAACAGAAGGATCTCCACAGCACAGGATAACAGGATATCCAGGAGGAGCCCCAGTGAGCTGCCTATGGATGGTAGAGCAGAAACCATTGATCTGGTGCCTAAACCAGATGACTCATGAATGGCTCCAGGTGAACTGTGACTCACTGGGTCACGTCACAGTTTCCGTGACAAGTCTCCTCCTGTTTTTTTTTTTTTTTTGCTTTGCTTGTTTTTTAAAAATTATTATTATTATTATTATTATTTTAGAGGGGGGTTGCAAAGACAGCGGGAAGAACGGGGAGGGCAGGGAGATGGTGAGATTGGGATTTGGAATGCATAATGTGAAATCCTCAAAGAATCAATAAAAGTTAAAAAAGAGACCAAAGATTAACTCAACAATTATTTAATAGTTTTTAGAATATAAGCTGCATAGCGTTTGAGTAAAAAATAACCTAACTTTAAGTACATGCTTCAGGACACTTGGCTAAGCAGTGAGCATCTGCCTGTGATGACCGGCACATAAGGGTGAGCACACTGCAGTGTGAGCTGCACAAAGACATGGAGACGGACGGATGCACAGCACAACACCTAGAGACAGTTAAACACAACACAGAACATGATTTCAAGTATTCAAACACTGCTCTCTGGCCAAGGAAAACCGCCCCCACCCCCCAACAAACAAAACCCAACACGACTGTGTTCTGTGTGAGTGAGGGGAAGACAGAGCTGTTTGGCTCTTGTGGATACGGCGTTCTTTCAGTCCTCTCCACAGAGAGACTGACTGGCTCAGGGTAGCATGAAAGCAGTATAGGGACAGCTCTTCCTCTTAACACTGGGGAAGGGTGGCTAAAGAAATAAATTACAGCAGGGGGCTATGGCAGTTGCCTTCCCATTATTGCATAGTCTCCCACACAGCCGCTGTGGAGGGCACAAACAGCTGCTGCGATCTTTGTACAGTTCTATGATCATCTTTGCTGAGAGCATCCCTGCTATGTTTCCTGCTTTGTATGCAGGATAAGAAGGGCCAATCAAGTGGTTCTATCTCTAAGCTTAAGGCAGGGACCTTCCCCCAAAGGACCTGCAGAGAATGCAGTCCCATGCCCCTAGAAACATTTCCTCAAGAAGGGGGTAGAGGTCACTGCCAGAGGAAAACAGGTGGCTGGACTGGGGTAGTGTGACCTCTAGCTGGTCCCTAGTCATGAGCTCTGGCACCACTTGAGAGCCTTCCATGCTCAGCACAGCAGGAGGTCGAGAGCTCAGCTAAGCTCTGCTCTGTTGCAAATACAAATGTATAGTGCAATTTTTTTTTTTAAATAACTGCTAGATACATTTAAAAAAAAAATCAGATCCAAGGTGAAGTAGTATCAGAGCACGGAGTTCACAAACAGTTGTCCAAAGGGAGCGCTGGGGGAAGATGTTGTGATCATGAGCTCACTACAAACTGTTTCTGCTCTATGAGTGGTCAGATGCTGTCACCAGCTCAAACCACTGCCTCAGGGCATCACTGAGGGTCTCAGGAAGGGCATTCACATCTCGAAGAATGATGTAAAATGGAAATGGGAACTCTTCCATGTAAGATCGGATTTCGGGCATCTCTCCAGGTCCTTTAAATATTGGTACTTTAATGTCCAAGATAGAATCCTGTTAACAAAAGACATTTGGGAAGAAATGGGAAAACTTAATCAGATCTTTGACAAGTTCATTGGTGACCTCGCTAGTTGACAAACTTTTATTCCTACATAAGAGAAACGTCTAAAACGTTTATGAAGAAGGCAGCTCCTTCTGGGACAAGGAGCAGTTCAAGAAAGAGGAAGGAAGAAACTGCTTTCCTTGCAGTGGTCTCTCCATGCTCTACCGAGACATCCCACTCTCCTTACCGGCCAGGAGCTACATGTGTCTTCAGACCAAGTCTGCCAGCTGCTGGGACACTATGGGAAAGGCTGGTCTCTACAAGCACCACACTTTCACAGAGGGAAACTATACCCCAGAGGCTCTGGAGTCTGTGACCCTCTGCTCTCTACTCACGACCTATCCTTTTCAGTACTGTGCAGGATGCTCTGCACTGTGTGAGGCTGAATGAAGGAAAGTGCGCAAAGCCCCAGCTCCTCGGATGACAGAGCCGCAGCCGTACATTAGAGCAAGTTCAAGGGCCCCTTTCTCTGCAGAATCATGGCTTTCGGCGAGCACTCACCCGTGCATTGGGATTATCCAACACAACAAAAATGACGAAGATGTTGGCATTCTGGGCAGCCTGGACTGCCGCCAGGACTCTATCTTTGCCTTCGAGGAAAAGGCCTCGTCCATCAGAAACTATGAGGAGTAGTTGTGCAATCTCTGTAGAAGCCGCAATTAGAGGAAGGGAAAAGGGAAGCCCATTAAACAACTGAAAACCATCTGCAGGCCCACTGAGCAAACAGATACCTGGAACTGCCACATCTGCGCGCGCGCGCGTGCGCGCGCGCACACACACACACACACACACACACACACACACACACGGCCTAGGTTCAGACAAGTTAGACACTCAGCTGATCAGACACTGCAGACTCTTCTATTAGTGCTCCGGGGGGGGGGGGTGTCAAATTTAGATCAACTTTAACTGGGAAGCAATTGATTTTTTTTTTTTTTTTAAAAAAAGATAGGGTTTCTCTGTGTAGTCCTCCTGACTGTACTAGAACTCACTCTGTAGATCAGGCTGGCCTCGAACTCACAAAGATCCACTTGCCTCTGAATCCCTGGGATTAAAGGCATGTGTCACCACTGCTTGGCTAAATAATTCTCATTGAGTCCATTTGTTTTTTTCATATATATATATATATATATTCATATATATATATATGATGGGATTGGAGGGACTCAGGAGATGGCTCAGTTGGTAAAA